ACCTCTGAAGCACACACACATCACTCCCATACTTAAAAAGCTCTCCCTGGACCCCACCACCCGAACAACCTTAGACCCATCTCCCTGCTGCCATTTACATCCAAACTCCTTGAGCGCTTAGTCTATACTCGCCTAAGCTCCCACCTCAATGACAACAACCTCCTCGACCCCCTACAGTCCGGCTTCTGTCCCCTACACTCCACCGAAACCGCCTTACTAAAAACTCACAAACAACCTGCTAACTGCCAAAGCTAATGGCCACTACTCAGTGCTCCTACTACTCGACCTCTCCACGGCGTTCGACACAGTCGACCACCCCCTCCTCCTCAAGAAACTACACTCCCTTGGCCTCAGAGACTCCGCTCTCTCCTGGCTCTCATCCTACCTATCACAACGCTCCTTCAGCGTTACCTATAACACTACCACCTCCCCCCCACTCCCCCTCTCTGTTGGGGTCCCTCAAGGCTCTGTCCTCAGGCCCCTTCTCTTCTCCATCTACACCTCCTCCCTTGGCCAACTGATACACTCTCACGGCTTCAACTACCACCTCTATGCCGACGACACGCAAATCTATCTCTCGACCCCTCGCCTCACCCCTTCAGTCTCCGCCTGAGTCACCAGCCTACTGAACGACATATCAGATTGGATGTCGCTCCACTTTCTTAAACTGAAACTCTCCAAAACTGAGCTCCTAGTCTTCCCCCCCAGCCCGTGCACCCCCCCTCACTGACTTCTCCATCACATCCAACCATGCCACCATCAAGCCCACCCTGAAAGCCAGAGTACTTGGTGTCATAATAGACTCCAATCTATCCTTCCAGCCCCAAGTCCAATCGCTAACAAACTCATGCAGACTCCACCTCTGCAACATTGCCAAATTCCGCACGTTCCTAACCCCAGAAACTACTAAGCAGCTCATCCACTCCCTCATCATATCACGACTCGATTACTGCAACTCCATCCTCACTGGCCTGCCTCACAACAGGCTATCCCCACTTCAGTCGATCCTGAATACGGCGGCCAGACTCATCCACCTTACCAACCGCTCCGTTTTCCGCCACCACCCCCCTCTGCCAATCCCTCCACTGGCTTCCTATTGCCCAACGGATCAAATTCAAACTGCTAACACTGACGTACAAAGCTGTCCATAACTCTGCCCGAAACTACATCACAGACGTAATATCCAAATACCACCCAAAACGCACTCTCCGCTCTTCACAAGACCTCCTTCTCTCTAGTTCCCTGATCTCCTCCTCCCATGCCCGCCTCCAGGACTTCTCCAGGGCATCATACATCCTCTGGAACTCCCTACCCCAATCCATCAGACTATCACCCACTCTGCTCTCCTTTAGGCGCACCCTAAAAACCCACCTCTTCAGGGAAGCCAACCCCTCCCTCTGTTAACTGCCGATCTCCTCCACTCTTCCTACCACTCCATCCCCCACAGCTTTTCCTCCCGAACCACTATCCCCTCCCTCCTAGATTGTAAGCTCCAAGGAGCAGGGCCCTCGAACCCCTCGTGTATCACACTGTATTGTTATTGTACTGTCTCGTGTATTGTCCCCCATTGTAATGTACAGCACTGAGTGAACTGTTGGCGCAATATAAATACTGTAGTATAATAATAATAATAATAACTTGGAAAATAGCAGTTAAATGCACTGAATACACAAAAATTCTAGAATTGGCACAATAACATCAATAAACACAATATTCATGTATATACGTATATACCGGTATAGCTATAGATCAGAATTAACCCCCTGCAACTACGCAGCAATATATCCCCAGCTAAACTGACATCTCTTTAGGCTTGGTCCCAAATTCACTTGTATACTGTGGGATTGTAATACTGTGTGAGTCTATCTGTTGCACAGGCTTGTGTTAGTGAATCGATGGACTGCTCTTAAGGACTGACATGTCACTGGTTAGCAGTTGCTCACCACATCCAAGAAGAACAGTCTCTAGGGGTTAACTCCTTGAAGGGATGATGAATGAGACTCTCCCCCTCTGGCTAGTGTTTCCTGTTGTCAATTGTCGGTGCTGCACAATCTCTGAGGTGCCTCACATAGGATGGTCACATGCCTCCTCTGCAATTTCCAACACTCTGACCTCTCTCTGCGGTGGGAGATGTCGTTGCTGTTGATAACTACCGTCGCGGGTGACTGGTACCAATGATCACAGCTGCCTCTGACTTCAGCTGCTGTAGATAACCATTGGCCTTAGCAACCTTTGCTGTTCTGGAAATAATGTCAGTGTACTTCAATAGTGGGGGCTGCAGACTAGCTCCCACATGTCCTTTCCAAAGGCACACGTGGCTCCCCCAACCCCCCTCCTTGCAAAGCATCCTGGTCCCTGTAGTCCTCTGCAGCATAAGGTTGCAATGTCTGTCTCTATGGTGAAACTGCAACTCCCACAAACACTCCATCACTGCTAAAAGCTGAGCCAATCAAACCCTTTCTGACAACATGCAGTCTTAAAAGGGAAACAGTTCTTTAAAAGGTATTGTCTGTTCTTTAAAAGGGAAACAGCAATAAGGAGAAAGGTAGAGGGGAGAAAAAATAAGTGAAACTTCCCTTTTTAGGTGAAGTTCTGTTTTAAGAACTATTACATAATTGAGTGTCAGCTTTATCAAGTGGACATGTTTGTCTCCCCTCTCTGGGCTTCACACTCTCATTGTCTGTTCTACACTGTTTTATTTTTTTTCCTTTCTTTTTCAGGTTCTACCTCATTTTCTGTTTTCAGACATACCTCTCTAATGCTCACTCAGTGAAAGGTTGTAATCATTTTCTGTATATGTGTGGTCTTTTTTGCAGTTTCACTATGATGATTGTAAAACATTGTTATTGATTGTAAACTGAGTATGTCTGTATATTACTAACATTACTCACCTGCAAGCCTGTTGTGTTTCTGTTATCCAACCTTGATCTTCCCTAACCCTGCTTTATTTTCTTCTATACTAAAAATTGCAATACAAAATCACAGTTTGAAAAAAAAAGGATAAGTAACTTCAGTCTGCTCCTGAGCAGAAATTGTTTGTTCATATTGAACCATATAAATAACATTTGCTTTAAGGTAGAACAGCTTTTTTTTACATTTTGCATAGGGTAAGGGCGAGTATTTTTTGCCATCTGTAACCCATTGGGGAGATTTCCAATTGGGGAGTGAAAGGAAATCCTTCCAAAGTGAGGGAGTACCTGGTTCTCAACCAGGGTCAACAGTAATGATATGCTAAAACTACCTGGGTTCAGTTCAGAGCGGGTTGGGGTGATGCACTGAAGAGGGTTACCCCTTGGCGGGACCCGGAACTTCATTCAGTAAACTGAGTTGAATCTTCTGGTCTGAGTTACTGGAAATACTGAGTTAAGTCATACAGTATATGGTAGTGGGGAACGAAGTGTATACCTATCTACATGTTCTACCTTCAGCAGGGAAATTTGTGTTCTCCCTGCAATATTGAATTTGGCCACAAGGTGGAGAGAGTAAATTTACAGTTTTGCAGAAACCAGAAACTGTCTAGTTAAAGTGTAACTCCACTTTTCTCAAAAAAAACAAAAAACAAACATTCCCCTCTCGGTGATCTATGTACATTGCAAGGATTTTAACAAACTTTGTTGTAGATTCCTATCTTTTGGTGTTTTGAAGTAGGTGTTTGTCTGTGTCTATATGCTGTGTGAATCTGTATGGGAGTGACTAAATAATTATCAATCAGCTGCTGCACCTGCAGGGCACTAATGAGAAAAATTGCAGGGTATGCATCCCTTTAGACGTTATTTTTCCATAGGGGGTATTTTACAAGAAATTACATTTTTGTTGTAGGGGATACAAAAAATCTGTCTTGTATCTTAGTGCAGACTTCTGGGAAAATCAGTAAGCCAATCACACAAGCAGGAAATTACATTTTCAGGGGGCATTCTGTACACACTGTGTGCACCTCCAAGTAGACATATTGCATTGCATTTTACAGAAAATGACAGCACTGCAGAACGAAGAGGAAAGGTAATTTTTAATAACATTCATTACAAGATAACTTGAGTTCCAATTGTGCGTGATATATATATATATATATATATATATATATATATATATATTTTTTTTTTTAATTGCTAATTTTTTCCCCACTAAAGTGGAGTTACCCTTTAGTAAAAGTTCCCAACTTCCTTCATTATAAGAAAAGGAAATAGGTGCATCCTGGGAGCTCAGACTCCATATTAAAGTGCTAGTAAAGTCACTGCTTTTATTTTTGCCTATAGGTAAGCCTATGATAAGGCTTACCTAGAGGTACAGTAAATATCTCCTAAACGTGCACCATTTGGAAGATATTTACTCTAGCAGCCGGTGACGTCACTGGTGCATGTGCACTGGGCTCTGAATGGACTGTGCAATGCATCCAGGACTCTGTGCTGCGGCTGTGACTCCCCCGCGCATGCACGGCTTGGCTATTCATACGCCGCAGCCTGCAAACCTAAAAGGAAGACTGGGTGAAGATGGTAGCGCCTACAACGTTCCGCTGGAGGGCTCCGTTTTCAGGTAAGTCTATCATAATGTGGTAGTATGCGATGCATACTAGTACACTATGACTTAAACTGTCCGGGGGCCCTTTTCTTTTTTTTTTTTTTTTTATATGGTTTACTGGCACCTTAAGAACTGAGGGAAAGGAACTAGCCATAATTCTTTGCAGCACATGTTGTGCACTGAACTTACATTCCCTGCAGGAAGCATCGCTGGTGAGCATGGACTTATTGCCATCTACAGCCTAAACATTTAATTGTGTTTGTATGTTTCATACATTGATTGTATATATTTCTCACTTGTTTTTCCCAATAGTTTCACTGCACTGCACCCTGTTTTGTTAATAAAGCTTTTGTTAACTGTCTCCCGCCCGCCATATAGTACAATGACGGGCGTAAGGCGGTTCTCTCGTTCTGGGAGGACATCATATGACGTTCTCCGATTCTCACCGTGCATGCACGGCTCTGGGAGCACGCAGCGATCGACGGTGTGCTGTGTCCCACGGACACAGCGGATCACCGATCCATGGAAAGAGCCGAAGATGTTGGCTCGGTCATGTGCGCAGCTGTGTCCAATCACAGCTGATCACATGTAAACAGGGAAATGCCGGGTTATCGGCATTTCTCTCCTCACAAGCTGTCACGCTGACAGCCCGAGAGGAGTGGAGAGCTGGTAGTCGGCATTCCTCAGAGGGGACATCTACACTGATCATCAGGGCACTGATGATCAGTGTGCCCTGATGATCAGTGTAGCCCCAGCAGTGCCACCTGTAAGTGTCCATCAGGGCCATGTGTCAGTGCTCATTCATGCCACCTGCCAGTGCCCATCAGTGCCACATCAGTGCCACATTTCAGTGCCTACCAGTGCACATCAATGCCACATATCAGTGTCCATCTGAGCTGCCTTTCAGTGCCAGTCAGTGCCACCTATCAATGCCAGTCAGTGCCACCTATCAGTGCTGCCAATCAGTGCCACCTGTCAGTGTCAGTCAGTGCCGCCTGTCAGTGCTGCCTATCAGTGTGCATTAGTGCTGCCTATCAGTGCCTATCAGTGCCTGTCAGTGCCGCCTAACAGTGCCAGTCAATGCCGCCTATCAGTGCCATATATGAGTGCTGCCTTTCAGTGCCCATCAGTGATGCCTGTCAATGCCCATCAGTGCCACCTACCAGTGCCTCCTCATCAGTGCCCATCAGTGCCACCTATCAGTGTCCATCAGTGCAGCCTATCAGTGCCCATCACTACAGCCTCATTAGCGCACATCAGTGAAGGAGAAAAATCACTTATTTACAAAATTTTATAACAAAAACTAAGAAAAAAAATTTTTTTTCAAAATTTTCTGTGGTTTTTGGTTTGTTTAAGAAAAAAATCAAAAACCCAGATGTGATTAAATACCACCAAAATAAAGCTCTATCTGTCACGAAAAAATTATAACAATTTCATATGGGTACAGTGTTGCATGACCGCGCAATTGTCATTCAAAGTGTGACAGCACTGAAAGCTGGAAATTGGCCTGGGCAGGAAGGGGGTATAAGTGGCCGGTAGGCTAGTGGTTAATGTATAGCGAGGACAGAACTGTCAGAGGTCAGCCTGCAAAGTAAAGTGTAATGTGTGTGCTAAAAAACTGGTGGAAGAAGATCACGGTTCCATGCTGCCTCCTTCATGATAGCTAAGTAATCAGTGCCAGAACTGGTGTCACTGACAGAAAAAAGGACATTATCATTCTGCTGTGGGGCTCAGTGTAGCAGGTTGGGCATTAACTTACACTTAGTGGTACTATCAAGCGAATGCTAAAAATGAATAGCATGCCGATTTCCCCATGCTACCAACCGAACATTTGGCATAGTCAGCCTGATACATTGTGAAATAGAACTCATCATATAGAAGAGAGAAAGTAGCCAGCATGTGAACAGGAGCATGACCAGAGGTATGACCATGATCAGCTCATGGTCAGATGATGTAATGACTATTGATTGGCTGCTACAACATATAGGGCTAAATAAAATGTTGCGGTGCGTAAATATTATGGATTCCATGTGGTTGAATGGAAGCCAGAGGTTACATCATAATGTATCACCAGCAGATGCTGTGTATATTACCCTGACTGGAACAAGCCTGAAGAACTTGACACTGCCTTTTGATTCAGGGCCAAGCGAAGCTTTGCCATATGTTGGTATGGAGATCAGGAGGTTTATGCCTGAAATGCCAGCAGGTATGCAGACAGGTGGATGCCTGGGCATGGTGTACTGGTTGCAAGATAGTTCTGTTTGAGGCCATGGATCTTGTGAAGGAACCTTAAGATTTGGATGAGAAAGATGATGCAAAGGCTACTGCAGTGTCCATCTTACTAGACAGCCCAGAGGATGTCAGGGGTCAGCTGTGAGAAACATCTGAATCTGACCCCCCTAGCTCCAATTAGGATGGATCAGTGAGACTGTGTATTGATTGCTCCAGGCTACAAGGGGTTGAGTCAGTGCATGGAGGATCCACCAAGACACCAGCTTTACCTTATTGAACTGGAACCCACTCTTGCACTGTTCCAGTTTACTGTGGAACCAAACTTTAAGGTGGTGTAAGAGGTCATACCTGTCTCCTCGGCCAAAACCTCAGTGCAAGAGCCAACGACCCAAGATGTGGGATCAGATTCTTTGCCAGTGTTGTCTGATTCACCCTTGCCATTTACAGTACCTCTAAGGAATGGGGAGAGCAACCTATACCCAAGGACTGTAGTGATGAGGCGTTGGATGTCATGGAAGACCCTGTGGAGCAGGTACCCACTAGTGAAGTGGGGACACCTGTAACTAATTCTTCAACCATAGGCTCAGGTACACACCATTTTACCTCAGTCAAGAGTTCTTGCTACATTGCTGTGGATAATTTCTGCAGACACAAACTTATATCTGAAACCGGGAATAGATTATGGGAGCAAACTAACACGTTTTGCCTGGCTGAAGCAGTACCTGAACCTTGGTCAAGAGACATATAGGTATTGTTCCATTCTATCGAGGTGGAACAGGACTTTTTTAACAGTACAATCTGGGATTACTTTGGTGTTACACAACTCTTGAGGGAGATACCAACATCAGGGACTGTAAAAGAGTTTACCAAGAACTGCAAGTTCAGGTATTGTTTAAAGTGGACATAAGCACCTAAGGGTCTGATATAGATGTTAATGGAAAAAAAAATAAAATACACATGAGGTTCCCCCACCCAACAGGCCCTTCAGCTCTGGTATGTGTTATAAGGAGGAACTCTACACAAAAAAAATAGTCTGAAGGCCCCCCTTCCTGACCAAATGAGACCTTAAAAGGTGGCCCTAGGGCCTGTTCACACCTGCGTGTTTTCAACACACCTGCTCAGCATTTCAAAAGCATCTGAAAGCCAGGCCAGGCACTTTCACCCCTTTTCTGCACAGGCCAATTTTCAGCTTTCAGCTCTTGTCACACTTTGAATGACAATTGTGCGGTCGTGCAACACTGTACCCAAATAAAATGTTACATTTTTATCATTTTGTTCATACAAATGGAGCTTTCTTTTTGGTGGTATTTAATCACCACTGGGTTTTTTATTTTTTTTTGCTAAATAAACAAAAAAAGATCCAAAATGTTGTTTCTGTTCTAACATTTTTTAAATAAATAATATTTCTTCATACATTTAGGGCAAATTGTGTTCTGCTTTTTATTTAATGAACATAACCCAAATCAGTGTTTATTATTTAGTCTGCAGGAAAGTTATAGAGTCCATAAACTATGGTATACATCTGAAAATCAATCAATCCTGACAAACTGATGGTCTATCTCATTTCTTGAAGCACAAAAATGCCAGAACAGTACAAATATCCCCCATATGACCCCTTTTTGGAAAGAAGACAGTATTTAGTAAGAGGCATGGTGGGGTTTTTGAAGTTGTAATTTTTTGAAAAATTAAAAAATTAAATAGTTTTTTTTCTCAAAATTTTTTTTTACATACTGTCACCAGCGCAGTACAGTGTCATCATATAACTGGTGTGGCGGTGATCAGGGACACTGACTGCTGACAGTATGTAAAAAAAAGAAAGCAACACATATTTTAATATTTTGGAAACATTTGTCTTTTATATTTTTCTTTTTTATTAAATTTTTTCTCTTTTTTTTCCCCACAATTTTTTTACATACTGCTACCCAAGCAATACAGTGTTACCATAGCAACACTATACTACTCTGGGGAGGTGATCAGGATTTTTTTTTACACATAATGATTGCTAATATCAATATATTTCATTGATGATTGTTACCATTGTTACTGAATGAAACTGATTCATTCAGTCTTTTGTTGTGATTAGCTGTGATTGGGTAAAGCTCATCACATGATACAGATGGGCTGTGATTGGCCTTGTCTGTACCATGTGACTGCTTTGACCAATCACAGCTAACAAAACAATTGTATACAATGGATGGCATAAAAGGAAGCCATTATGATAGCTTATAACAGTGAATATCACTGTTATAAACAACCATTTTCACTGAATGAAACCTATTCATTGTGTATTGTTGTGATTAGCTGTGATTGGCTACATCTAATCACATGGTACAGATAGGCTTTGATTGTCGCTGTCTGCACCATGGGATCACTGTGACCAATCACAGCGAGCAATACAAATGTACACAATAAATGGCATGAAGGAAAGCCATCCATTGTGTACAATTGTCATGTGATCTGCTATGATTGGTCAGCTGCCCAGTACAGTTATCTATCATCGGCTGTGTGCAGTGGACAAAGCGGGTCACAGATCACGCCACAGCTCAGCCAGTGGCGCGTTCTGGGGAGGACATCATATGATGTCCACCCAGAACCAGAGAGCTCCTGCCCAGCTATCATTTGTCTATAGGCCAAGCGGGAAGCAATTAAATGATCGGCAATGGTTCAGCACTGCATTACGCCCTTCTCTGTCAGTGCTGGGGTCACATTAGTGAAGGAGAAAAACTGAGGGAGAGGAGAAACATTGGAATACTAGTCAGTACCAGCGTGTAAAAGTGTATTTGCTTTGGAAGAATAAATCACCTCTATCGTTGGGTGTCCTATGTGTGTGGATTTTGCTGCATTATATAAAAGGCCAATCATAGCAGCCTTTTACCACATGATCAGCTGTGTCCAATGGCACAGCAGATCACTGGTAAATGCAGTTGCCGGTTATCGGCTGCACATTAGCGTGAGGAAAGTACTGCCGATAATTGGCAGTTGTCAGATCAGTGCCATGATGGTCAGTACCCAGCAATGCTGCCCATCTGTGCCCAGCAGTGCCACCCACAAGTGCCCAGCAGTGCCACCCACCTGTGCTCATCAGTGCCCAACAGTGCCAGCCATCAGTGCCCATCAGTGCTGCAGTCAGTGCCCACAAGTGCCGCCAGTCAGTGCCACCTATCAGTGCCCATCAGTGCCGCCTATCAGTGCTCATTATTGTTGCATATAAAGGCAGCAGCATCAGTGCCACCTCATCAGTGCTGCCTCATCAGTGCCGCCTAATCAACAAACATCAGTGTTTTTCTTTTTTGCTCTTTTTTTGTTTATAGCGCAAAAAACACCCAGCCGCGAGTAAATACCACCAAAAGAAAGCTCTATTTGTGTGAAAAAAAATTATAAAAACTTCATATGGGTATATGGGTACAGTATTGCATGACCATGCAATTGTCATTCAAATTGCGACAGCGCTGAAATCTGAAAATTGGGTTGGGCACGAAGGAGGTATAAGTGCCGGTAGGCAAGTGGTTAAAGGGTGCCTCAAGACTGTCCATAATTTTAGAAGGTGCCTCGAGACTGTCCATAATTTTAGAAGGTGCCTCAAGACTGTCCACAATTTTAGAAGGTGCCTCGAGACTGTCCATAATTTTAGAAGGTGCCTCAACACTGTCCATAATTTTAGAAGGTGCCTCAAGACTGTCCATAATTTTAGAAGGTGCCTCAAGAATGTCCATAATTTTAGAAGGTGCCTCGAGACTGTCCATAATTTTAGAAGGTGCCTCAAGACTGTCCACAATTTTAAAAGGTGCCTCAAGACTGTCCATAAATTTAAAGGGTGCCTCAACACTGTCCATAATTTTAGAAGGCGCCTCAAGACTGTCCACAATTTTAAAAGGTGCCTCAAGACTGTCCATAAATTTAAAGGGTGCCTCAACACTGTCCATAATTTTAGAAGGCACCTCAAGACTGTCCATAATTTTAGAAGGTGCCTCGAGACTGTCCATAATTTTAGAGGGTGTCTTGACATTGTCCATAATTTTAAAGAGTGCCTTGACATTGTCCATACTTTTAAAGAGTGCCTTGACTAAAAAAAGGTTGAGAAACCCTGCTCAAATTGGATTGCTCCAGAACTGTGCATGTGCAGTTCAGAGCCAGTAACAAGGGAATTTTTTTTAAAAGCTTTTCACACCAGCCACCCACCAGCGGTGAAGGTATGGGCGCAGGCATTTATGGTCAGGAGAAAAGTGCCTTTTTTTTTTACAAACCATCTGTAAATTTACAGACGGTTGGCAACACAGGGCTGTGTGTGTACCAGGGGCGCACTGACCATTTGGAAACTTGGGCAGTGCCCGAGGGCCCGGGGTCAGTAGGGGGCCCCATGAGATGCCCCTGGCACCTTTTTCATAGGCTTTTTTGAGTTTGGGCAAGGACACAGGGGCCCCATGATCCCCTATTGCCCGGGGGGCCCCATGAGTTGTCAGTCCACCCCTGGTGTGTACACATGCAGCCACTGTGATTCTTCTGATGATCACATTCTATTCAAATGAAAGGGGCTGCTCTGCAAGCACCGCACAACTTCATGCAATGCATGCAGTTGTGGTGTGCTCATGTGGGGTTGTTGGGGTTAAAGCAGACAATAAGGAGGTGATACAACACCACCTCGCTGCCTGCCAAATGCTCTCTGAAGAGGAATCTGAATGCAGATCACTCTATAAAGACCAAAGCTAGTGTGAAGGAGCCCTTAAAGAGATGATGGGCAAGAAGACGTTAAAACAGAAGCATCACAAACTTGTGAGTAAAAGCCCCATCAGTTTAACCAACTAACAGATTATCAGCATTCCCAGAAGTATTTCTGGTGTCTCTGAGTGTTAACTGGACATGAAATCAAAAGGGAAAGTTTATGAATGCTCCTAGATGAACAGGGGGGGAGACGGGTGGCAGATAAGGACAGTTCTGTCATAGACCAGGGCTCAGGGCTGACTTGCTCCAGGATGAGATCTGGAGAATCAGGCAACACACTATCATTTACACAGCCAGTATGTAGCTTCCAGCTGCTGTACTTCATATCTCCCGCTCTGCCCACATCCCCCTTCTAAAGCACAGCACTAGGTGTGTGTAGGAGTGTGGGCAGGGCAGACAGGAGGAGAGGGGTGAGAGCAGCTGTAGCAGCTTGAGTCCTCTCTACAAGGGTGTGATAGTGTCCTGCTTGTAGTCTGTGTGACACTCAAAATTGACTGATGCAGCCAGCCAACTGCTTCCCCTGATGAACAATTGGCAACCCTGCCTGGGCACAACATCCATGGGGGGATTCTTTGGTGGGGGTAGGGGCATAGCTGAAATCTGAGGGGAGGGGGAACAGCCCACCCCAGCGCCATGGTCAGAACTGGCCTGGACTGAAGTGGTTACTATAGCGCAGGGGTCTCCAAACTGCAGCCCACGGGCCGGATATGGCCTTTTCTTGCTTTTATCCGGCCCTTGAGGCACTTTTCCTTCCATGATATGAAGCGCTGTTCCTTCCATTGACACCAAAGATGGGGCGCTATTCCTCCCACTGACACCAGTGACAGGGGGCTATTCCACTGAAACCAGTGACAGGGGGCTATTTTTCCCACTGACCCCAATGACGGGGCACTGTTCCTCCCACTGTCACCAACGATGGGGCGCTATTCTCACTGACACCAACGATGGGGCGCTATTCCTCCCACTGACACCAGTGACAGGGGGCTATTCCTCCCACTGACTCCAATGACGGGGCACTGTTCCTCCCACTGACACCAGCAACAGGGCACTGTTCCTCCCACTGATGCTAGGGACAGGGCACTGTTCCTCCCACTGACGGGGCATTGTTCCTTACACTGACACCAGGGACAGGGCACTGTTCCTCCCACTGACACCAGAGAATGGGCACTGTTCCTCCCACAGATACCAGTGACAGGGGGCTATTCCACTGACAACAGTGACAGGGCACTGTTCCTCCCACTGACCCCAATGACGGGGCACTGTTCCTTCCACTGACACCAGCAATGGGGCAGTGTTCCTCCCACTGACACCAGCAACAGGGCACTGTTCCTCCCACTGACGCTAGGGACGGGGCCCTGTTCCTCCCACTGATGGGGCATTGTTCCTTACACTGACACCAGGGACGGGGCACTGTTCCTCCCACAGATACCTGTGACGGGGCACCATTCCTCCCACTGATTCCAGAAATAGGGAACTAACTATCCCACTGACACCAATGATAGGGCACTGTTCCTCCCACTGACCACCAAGCCTATTGTTTACTCCCACTGATGCCAGGGCATTTTCTACTCCCACTGGCCACAAACCGGCCCCCATAAAGTTTGAAGGGCAGTAAACTGGCCTTTTCAAAAGTTTGGAGACCCCTGCTATAGTGCGTGCAGTGCCTAGCTTGTGTGTTAACACATAGGAGATAATTTACTAAAACTAGAGAATGCTAAATCTGGTGCAGCTGTGCATAGCAACCAATCAGCTTCCAGGTTTTATTGTCACAACTTAGCTGAACAAGCTGAAGTTAGAAGCTGATTGGCTGCCACGCACAGATTTTGTACTCTCCAGTTTTAGTAAATAAACCCCCCATAATGCTTTGGTTCTGACCAGGGGCGCACTGACCATTTGGAAACTCGGGCACTGCCCGAGGGCCCGGGTCAGTAGGGGGCCCCATGAGATGCCCCTGGTACCTTTTTCATAGGCTTTTTTGAGTTTGGGCAAGGACACAGGGGCCCCATGATCCCCTATTGCCCGGGGGCCCCATGAGTTGTCAGTCTGCCCCTGGTTCTGGCTAGCCCAGAGACAACGGAGATCAGTTCTAGCAGTGTAGAGAGTTGTAGAAGTGGAATGTTTGCAGACCGGTTAGCAGCCATGGAAGGTCACCACTAGAAGACGCTGCGCTCTCTCTACACCCAGGCTCTGTGTTTTGATGCGACGAGCGCCCCTGTCGGTCACAGTGCGCAGTGCAGCCGCCCGGTGACGCGACTCCCGGCAAATGTCAGGCAGTCTGGGCGGTGTGGTGACGCGTATCCGGTGTGTGGTAGGAGTGCGCAGTCGTTGCTGGAGAGGAGAAGCCGGAGGCCGCAGTTGCCGGTCAGTGAGTGTGTTAGTAGGCAGGTCCAGCCGGACCGGGCTTGGAGTCTGGATCCCTCAAGGGACAAGGGGAGTCCGGGAGAGGGCACCGGAGCTGAGCGGCCCGAGTCTCCCTCCTCCGGACCGGAGTGTATCTCACCTGCATCGTTCCCTGCCCTGCTGGAACCCTCCCAGCTGCCCCTCCGAGAGGACGACTATTGCAACCTATCCCCGCTCTGCCTGCACCCGGCCCCCCCCCGCACACAACAGCGCCCTCCTGGTGGCCACCATAGAGCTCAGCAGGGCGCCAGCCCTGGACACCGCCGAGCCCCCGGCACCGCCAGCCCCCCTCATAGTCACCCGAGCTTCGGTGGGGACAGCAGGCACTGGGCACGATGATGAGGGCAAGATGAGCCACGACAAGAAGAAGAGCACCAGCAACCGGATTATGTTGGTCAAGAAGATCCTCATGAAAGATGGGGGCACGGTGAGTGGAGCTTTCATCTCTAGTCCTCACAAGGGGGATCCTGGCTGCGTTCACACTGGAGCGTAGCGGAAACGCCTGAAAAACGCACAATGTCATTCTATTATTTTGTAATACAACTGCGAACACAGCAGTCGTGCTGAAATGTGCGTCACCATGCGTGCTCGGCTCAGTGCCAAAGTTTAGTGCTTGTCCTACTTTGGCGCGTTTTTATGTTCAATAGGCCACCCATTCAAGTTAACCGGTTGTCACGCCAGAAATCGCACTTAGGCAGGCCATAGATGGGTCGAAAATCAGCCGATTTTTCAGCCGAAAAAAAAAAAAATCAGCTGATTTTCTCATCGTTAATGGGCTAATTGGTCGGCCAGTTTTCTGGATTTTGGCACATTTTTTTAATCGGTAAAGTTGGAAAAAAATAGGGCGATTTTGCCGATCGGCTGATTTTCACTGCAATGATGGGCAAATCGACCGATCTTTTTACCGATAAAAAATCTGCGCATGAGCCGTGAACTGCAAGAAAAAGAATTCCAGTCTGCTATTATGTTTGACATGAAAAGTATTGCGGTTGCAACAATGTATCTATTTGTATCCAAATAAAAACATGTATCCGAAATGGATACATTGTTGCAACCGCAATACTTTTTCATGTCAAACATAATAGCAGAGCTTTCTGCAAGGGACAGAAGTAATTAAATGCCAGCTGTAGACGGGACGAAAATCAACTGATTTTTTTTATTTTTTTTTTGTACTGTTGGTGGTAACGTCGGCCTAATAAATGACCGATTTGTCTTTTTTTCTAAAAATGGCCGGTTTTTGACCCATCTATGGCCTGCATTACTTGCACTCAGATGTAAACATAGCCTCATGCTGGCCATACACGTATAGATTTTCATTCAAGAACATTCGTTTGACTTTTTAATCTTTAGTGGCATTAAATCGATGTTCATTTTTGACAGCATGATGGGAAAATTCGAAGGGGCAGGAAGGAAAACTTTTCTCGATCAAACAAATTTTCGGCCAGTGTATGTGGTTATCGTTTACAAATGACATTCATTTTAAAGTCGAATGTTAAAAGCAAAAGACAATTTTCTAATGACATTCGTCCCTTCATTGAATGTTAAAAGAATTTTCATACGACTTTTCCTATGAATATTCTCGTCCGAAAATCTACAATCTACATGTGTATGGCCAGCCTTAGGTTTCTTTTTAGTTTCTTTCCCAAGCTAAAAGAAACAATTCTCTGAGCTATGGTGAAGAAAAAAAAAAGCTGGCAATTGCATTTAAAAACCAGAACTGACATATACTGACAGCCAGTCAGAGAATTAATGAAACTTTGTGTCTTTTAGCTTGGGAAAGAAACTAAAAAGAAACTTTCTTTTAGTTTGTGGAAAGTGACAACCGATTCTCTGAGCTTTAGTGAAGAAAAAAAAAAAAACCCCG